CCATTAGACTGAACAATCAGGCCAGCATGCATTGAAAACCACACCATGGAAGCAGAAAGCCACTAACGCTGTGTCACCTGGCCTATCATATGGGTCCTGCCTGACTCTCATGGAGCCTGGAAGCTGAGCGAGGGCTTCTGGGACACAGTACTGCTGTCTGTGCACATCTCCTCACAAACTGACTCCAATCACCTCCATCTCCTCTGCACCCCTCTAAGGTCACAGGACATATGGAAAGTACGTATTTAAGCATGTCCTCTAAGACGTGTACTTGACAGGAATTTTAATATTTCTACTGACAGAATTGTTTTGTATTCAAAAAGACGGCTGACATGATACGAAACATTGGTATGTGTCGTATTGCATGCAAAAAGAACAGTTTAGAACCTACTAAATTTAGATTAGCAAGGGCTTGGAAAAAGGTAACTATTATTTGATAAAAATTTTGATAGGAAAAAATGATTGAATAATATAGCAAAGTGGTAAGAAAATCTTTTCTTTAAGTTATGTTTAAATAATAGCAAACATTTTTACTACAGTTATGCCACTCTTCAAAAAAGTATAGTAAGCTTTTATTAGGGAAAAATAAGAACATATATTTATTAACCATCTAAAATGGGCCAGGCACTTATTATGCACATTTTATTTCTTTTGTACACAAAACAACAAATATAAAACTAGTATGATAATGATTACCCCACTTCCTGCTTCCTGCCCTTTCTAAAGACATCAGATGCCATCCACTGTTGTCTCTGTCCAGCACGTTTTGTTCCTAGGCCTTCATGTGACTGGCTCCTTCTCATGCTTCACTTGGCAGCTTTGGTCACACTCAGAAAGGTCTTCTCTGACCACCTAAATTCTATCCCCACTCCCATTCCAACTTTAACGCCCCCAGTATTCTCTAACCTAACATTCTCCATTTCCTTTATAGGAAGCATGTACTGTTTACTTGTTTTTCTGCTCCTAGCACTACCGCTTAACCCATCAACTACTACCTTCAATGGCCAACTGCCAGGCACTCAGTTGGTATCCAATAACAGAAATTTACTTCAGGTCAAAACATTTAAGATCTCATCAAAGGCCTCATGTACCAAACCACTGGATATGGCCAATCACAGTCTACTGAAACTTAACATCGTCAAATTAGAAATCCACATGACCCTTCCAACTTTCCCATCCTGTTCTTGACACTACTGCCATTTACTTGTCCTTCAGGTTTACAGAAAGTATCCCCGACATTAATAGGTCCCTACATACCACTGTGATCATCATGTCTTATTTTCCATAGCACCCTTTACAGTTTACAAAGTGTTTTCACATTTGTTACCACCTTTGTTCATTACACATACCTGAAAGGTAGGTATGACTACCATGGTAATGGATGAGGTCACTGACATCAGTAGGTTAAAAAGTTTTCCCAAGATCCCATAGCTAGTAAGTGACCAACCCAAGATGCTAGCATGTTCTTAGACTTCAAATACAGTGTTTGTGCCATTAGACAGCAGATGCCTGCATCTAAGAGATCATGCCCTTATCTCTTTCCACAGCTGTCACCTCAGATTAGCTCATCATTACATTATACTTACATTACTACAAGTATAATTGCTATGTTACTCAATGCATGCTATTGTAACTATCCAAAACAGTTGTTACTTATCAAAACACCACTAAGCCAAATTGTTGTTAATATACTCCTACATATTTCTTACTATTCACCACTATTCTTCTTCTCTGGAAAAGTCCTTTCAGATCTGCTTGACAATCCAAATATAATAATACTTTGAAATCTCAGGCATTATCTTTCAAGTTCCAAGTGATAAAAAAAAAAAACCCCACAATCCAAACTGTTTCTCTCTGAATCTTATTAGTAGTTTTACACATCCATATATGCTATAGAATAATACATTTGGCCAGAGGCCGACCTGAAATAATTCTTGACTTTTTAGATAAACTTAACTTCAGAACCCAAATTCCTTATGGCTTCGAAGCCTTAGTTTTTTATACTATACTACACTGATTTCATTAAGTGAATCTTGCAAATAAACAGAATTTACTATGCAGTATTATTATATTTAGCACAATTATTTTATTGTAGTTTAAAAAACATAAGAAAATAATTTTTATGGGAAAATGCAGAGGTGAGAAAGTAAAGTCAAAGCATACCTTTTATGTTTTAAGAATAGTCAATGCTGATATTTAAAATAATAATAATAAAAATAAAAGACAGTACCTCAGAATCCCAAGGTGATTCCACATCTTTCTCTTCTTCTAATTCTAATGCTGACATTTTATCTATAAAATGTAATCATAGATATATTAATGTAAATATTTAGCATATGGATTTTATTTATTTTATTATTTTTATTTTTTAAAGATTTTGTTAGGAAATTGGGGGAGGGAGCAGCATTTGGGGAATCAGAGAAGGAGAACAGACAAGCTGCTGTCCTTTTGTTCTTCAGTCTAGTTGTGGAGGACGTCGCTTCACTGGCCCGTGTTAGTATTGTGATCATTGTGCTCTTCCCAGCTGAAGCAGGTCAGTGCTGGCCACTGGATGGCCAATCACAGCGGCTCATGGCAGCTCACGCAGGCTGCCAGATGCTCATGTTGGCTGCTGGCCGCTCGCAGAAGCTTATGGCAGCCCATTGCAGCCCTGATGTAGCCAACGCCGTCGCCGGCAACTCACAGCAGCCCAGCTCCAGGTCGAGCTGTTGTTCACCATCTTAGCTGTAGAAGGCGGTGTCACTGGCCCATGTGGGATCCAAACCAGTGGCCCTGCTACTCAGAGCTCATGCTCCCAAGCCAACTCTTAACCAACGAGCCACTCGGTCAGCCCATCAAATGGACTTTAAATGCATATACAAGTCTATCTCCATTCATGAGTATTTCAATAAAATAAAAGCAATAGCAAAAAAGAATTTCAGAGGATTAAAGCATTTGCAAGAAGAAAAAGTTGGTAGTAGTTGGGATACTCTTCAAGAAAGATAGAAAAAAAATATTAAAAGAAAAGGGTATCAGATTTGTTTATACCAGCATTTAAGCATAGAAAAAAATCATAGATCGTCACTAAATTACCACTTCTATTATTTTGGTGAGCTCCATCAACATAAGTCAAATTGTCATTATTTTTTTGCTCTTGTGGAGTACTTTCAATAATGTCCCCACCATTTTCTTTTTTTCCAATTGCTGGCTTTGTTGCTTCTTCCTATAAAAACAAAACAAAAACCTAACTTCAGAAAACATCATATTCATTTACTCACTCGCTCCCTCGGTCCATCAGTAAATAAGACCACAAACATTTACTGTATCCATCAAATCACAGCCACTAATCCGGGAGAAGCTAGGAATATAAATAACAGATTTTGTCCTATATTCTAGTAGAGGTAGAGATACATGAAAACCTTAAGAACAGAAAAGTATCACTTATACACCTGAAGTGAATAGAGTACAGTAAGGGCACAGATGAGTCAACAGTCAGTTGTACCTGTGAAGCTCAGGAGATGGTGCAAAGATAGGGCTGCATCTTGAAAGACATACTACCGTATTTCTGCATGTATAAGACGCACCCTTTTCAAAAACTTTGGGATCTAAAAACTGGGTGCGTCTTATACAGTGGTTGTAGATTTTTTTACTTGCATTTCCCACAAGTGATGAGGAGTTGTATGAATTTTATGATGAATAAAACTTGAGTTCAATAACTTTATGTAATACATTTTTTTCAAATTTCGGTCTCCAAAATAAGGTGTGTCTTTTACATGGGAGCGTCTTATACATGGGGAAATACGGTAAGTGCAGAGGGAAGGCGAGAAGGGTATTCTAGAAAGGGCAGCAGGAGCAAAAGCATGAGGTATGAAACAACACAGGACAGGAGAGTACCAGAGGAATGAGGTAAACCTGGAACACTGAAAATGGGGTGGAGAAACAAAACTGCAGGATCAGAACCAAGCCAAAAAAGGCTGGTGTCATGCTAGCACATGAATTTTACCCTCACGTAATGGGGAGCCACTCAGTAAGCAGAGGTGTTGCATCATCACAAATATATTTTAGAATAGTCACACTGGCAACAATGTAAACATAAATATAAGGGGATCAAACTACAAAAGAGTATTTCAAAATTAAAAGTGAGAAGCTGAATTACAGTAATGAGATATAAAAAAAATCATAAGCAGGTAGAAAATATAAAACTTGGTGACTGACTAGATGTGGCGATTCCAAGGAAAATTGGGGTCCATGATTTTTCATGCTTCAGTGTTTCAGTGGTGCTATTTACTAGGATGGGGAAAACAGATGACAGAGCAGATTACAGAGAGTCAGGAAATAGGGGCAATATCTTCAGTTTGGGACATATCAAATTTGAGGCACCACAGAGACTTAGAAGAAAAATCTGGATAAATACATGTGGAGGAGAAACAGATGAATTTACTTAGGAGAAGCTTATGATGTTAAGAAGATAGGTATTCATAAAATGCACTAAACTGATATAACTAAATAATGCAAACCTACACAGAACTTGAGAAATTTTGAAAATAAAAACAAGAGTAGGTGAAAAAAAATGGGATTCAATTTTTTAGTTATATGAGTATATTTCAAAATCTGTTTCAACAATATAAAATACCCTTTGATGGATATATGCAAATATTATTTCTGGGATATTACAATAATAAACACTTTAATGAAAAAATTTAATTGTCAAATACCAATTTGCAATGTTATACAAAGACTCCTTTTAACAATTAATGTTAAAAGACAAGTTTTAAACTGTAAAAGACAAATGCTTATGAGATTACAGAATTAAAAGGACTTTTTAAGTACTAGTATCACGTATGAAAGAAATATAAAACCCTATTTAAAATTAACATGGTTTCCTTATTCTCCTGTGAACAGCACACTAATAGCTCTAATATCTATCTATTCCACATACCATAATAGTTAAAGATTGAAGAAAAAAACTACTATAAAAATACTAATAAAGCTATGATTAACCAAATTGAAGATTTAAAAGTCTGTAAACACATCTATGATTATCACGTACGACTGAATGAAGAAAGGGACTAAAACATCAAGTCATTGGGATGTCTGAGTTTTAGATATGAAAGAATTTTCATGTTAGATTTAACTATGAATGCCAAAGTTAATAGAGTTCTTAAGTATAATAAAAAAATGTACCTATTGCTAGAAATATTTTAAAAAGTAAAATAATCATCTTTCAGAAATAATTTTTTACACTGTTGATCATCTTTCCTTCATTATTTTATATTAGAAAGAAATCATAACTTGTGATTTCATTCTTTGATGTGTGCATGTGTCCACTAATTGCAGATATTAATAGGAAAAGATCACTCAGAATCTCTAGCTCCCCGAAGCTAGGTGAGTTGCCCATCATCTCACAGCTAGGAAATGGTACAGAGTGGGCTCAAGTCCATGCCGCCTGTCTCCCAAGCCCCTGAGACCACATTCTGCTCAGCCCTTCCTCTCCCCACCCAGCTCCCCTGTCACGCCTTCCTCTGCTTTGTCCCTTTCTTTTGTCCCCCCTTCCCGAACGAGGCCTGAAGGAAAGCATCGTACTAGGCACACAGAGAACAGAGAGAGAGGGCCTGTTGAAGTCTGTGCGCCCTTGCAGCCCTGCTCAGCCTCATCCTGCCCTGGAGGACGCCGCAGACTACAGCTGAGAGGGGTTCCCTGCATCACTGTTGATAGTGACAAAACAACTGGCTGTCCATCTATAGGGGACCAACTAATAACTCATGTGGCTTCTGTACAGTGGAAATCTCTGCAATCATTGCAAAGAACAAAGTAGCCCCTTAGAGAGCAATATCTAAGAGATATCATTAAGAATGCAACAACAGAAGACATGCTTTAAGAGTCCATCTGATTGTTTTAAAATGTATAGCATGATCTTAACTTCACTGACTGATTATTGATGTGTCACTCCTAATTTCAACACATCTTCATTACCCCAAAAGGAAATCCCATTCCCATTAAACAGTCACTCCCAATTCCCCCAACCCCCAACCCCCAGCAACCACTACTCTGCTTTCTGTCTCTATGGATTAACTTATTCTAGATATGTCCTATAAAAAGAATTACACACACACACACACACACACACACACACACACACACACACGCACAATTTTTATAGAATATTTACAGAAAAAAAGAATTTGTTTTTTTCTTTTAGAGTGTTGTAGCTTAAGATTTATTTTCTCATTCAAAAAAGAGATTAAGTACCTCATTTACATAACCAGCAAGTTTAAGTTTCATTAATGAAAAAACTAAATAAAGTGCTTATTTATTTCCTTTATCTTTATCCTCCCAAAAATCTAAAACACCTATAAAGATTTTACCAAACAGTAAGATCAGTTAATTAAGCAAGTTAAGAGTTCTGGACAAGTTGGTGGAGGAGCTAAATGCTGCATGCCTCTTCCTGTGACCAAATTAAAACTAAACTATAGAACAATCAAACTGGAGAACAATCTGAAGACTAGCTGAACAGAAGTCCTGTAAGTAAGGATATAATGAAGAAACCACCTTGAGTCTGGTAGGAGAGGCAGAGGCATGAAAAAGGCTGGTCCCACACCCACGTGGGGCAGTCGAGAATCAGGAGGAATATCTCAGCTGCAAAGATCTCTCCTGAGGAGCGAGGGGTCACAGCCCCACACCAGGCTCCCCAACCCAGAGTCCAAGAGCCAGAAAGAGAAGGCCCCACAATCCATGGCTGTGAAAAATCAGCGGGGGGTTGATTCTGTCCATCCAGTTGAGACACAAGGCGGTGGGAAACCAGGTGTGAACTTAAAGGGCCCCCCACACAGACTCACTCACTCCGTGGCACTCACCCTGGGCTCTGGTGGAGGGACTGTGGCTCAGGAGGTGACAGAGACATACAGGGAGACACTGAGTTGTGTTGGGCTGGGGAAAAAGCCGCCATAGTCCCTGTGTTGGGCCCTCCTCCCATGGGGCCAGCAGGTGGATGCCATGTTTCCTGTGTTGATCCCTCCCTCCACACAGTTAACCACTTGAAATTACTAAAAGTACTAGACTAGTCAGGGGAATCACTACTTAATTTATACAAGAGTCTAATTTCAGGTGCTGTACACCTGAAATCAATATAAAATAACATTGAGTGTTAACTGCTACTGAAAAATTTTAAAAGGAAGGGAAGGTGAAGGGGAATAAGAGGTTCATTTCCAGGTATAAAACAAATAAGTCATGGGGATGTAATATACAGCTTGAAGAATATAGTCAATAATATTGTGAAAGCATGGTACAGTGTCAGATGATTGCTAGTCTTATGGAGATCATTTCTTTAGGTATTTAAATATTGAATGATTATGGTGTACACCTGAAACTAATATAATATTGTATGTTGGCTACATTTTAATAGAAACCTATTTTTAAAAAGTTAAATATATACCAAACAGTAAGATAAGTTAGAAAACACAACAAAAATAAGGTCCAAAAATTCATAATTCATAATAAATCTCATTAAGGCCTATAACAGACTTCAATTTGCATTATCTATGAACACAGGTTATGCTAGATTAAATATAAGACATCACTTAAGCTTAAAAGTGAGGATTACCAAAAAAAAAAAACATCAAATAAAAACTTCAATGAATAATAAATAATTGAGAATTAAATTTTTCTTCAGTTTTTCATAAAAATCAGCTATAAGCAATTTTGAGAATTTTTTTCATTACCTGGCTTTCTTTTCTTAATTTGCATTTCAAATAATTTCTATCATATGTTATAATATAGCAAGCTTCTGCTCTCCCTTAACCCCATTACTGTTGTTTCTTTGTAATAATCTCTTCATCTTGACTCTCTTATTAAATCCTTATTTTCATCTTGGCTTTCTTAAAAGAATATTTCCCCTTCACCCCCATTTTCACATTCAGCTAGCTATTCTTTCTAATTCTTTCCTTCCATAACGGCATACCTAAGAATTGCTACTCCCACTAACCTTTATAAAACCCAGTCCTGCACATGAGTATCTCTTGTCATTTAACTTATTTTCTTTTATGATCTTCAGGATTTCCATTTCCTTCTAGCATCCTTGTCCTTACTAGGATCAGGGGGATGGTATGTGAAAAGCATGGAAGGGCCGACCAAGTGGCTCAGCTGGTTAAGAGCTCGCTCAAGAGTGCGAGCTCTGAGCAACAGCAGTTCGATGCCCGACCCGAGCTGAGCTGCTGCTGAGCTGCCAACAGGTGGCAGGATGGCTCAGTTAAAAAAAAAAAAAGCATGGAGAAAAACGTAAAGCAAAACCACTTACCTGTGTAAGGCCAGTGACTGCTAAAGGCCTGGAAGCAGGTTTGAGAAGAGGTTCGGGAGGTGGACAATCAGGACGAGAAAAGCCCTGGACTGTGTTCGATGGTTTGGGAAGGGTCTCCACCAGATCTTCACTCTCACTATGAGATTCATTGTCTTCACAGAAGGTCTTATTTTCTGGTCTCACAATAGCATATTTTGCTTCCACTACAGTAAAAACAAAGTAAACACTACATGAAAATATCTGTGACTTCAAATCAGTTCATTACATAAAAACAGACTGTCTTCAAATAGCTTACTGTTTTTCTGGGATTGTTGAACAGCAGTCATTAGCTTTGCTAAGCTTGGTTTCACGACATTCTAGAAAAAAAAATATAGCTTTAAGTATCAAATTTGATAATAATAATAATGATAATATTCACCATTAGTATATGATCTCACACAAAGAGCACAGGCTTTGGAATCATTCGGATGTAGATCTGTATCCCAGTTCTGCCACGTGCTAACCTACATCTTCCTATGGGGTAAACATTGTACGAGAGGACACACTAAGCCCCAAAATGTTACTAGTGTCATCCCTAAATTATTATCCAAATACGATGATATCCATTAGATCATAAAATTTAACCCTAGGTAGTTTAGAGTACTACTGAAACAAAAATTAAGAAATTTAAATTAATTACTTGTTTTATATATATAAATATAGATAGATAGATAGATAGATATTTATATCTATATATATATTTTTTTCTTTTTAATTTTTATTGGGTAACAATGTGTTTTTTCCAGGACCCATCAGCTCTGAGTCCAGTCGCCATTTTCAATCTAGTTGCGGGAATCAAGCCAGCAACCTTGTTGTTAAGAGCACCCACTCTACCCAACTGAGCCATCCGGCCACCCAACTTGTTATATTTTGAAATGTGTTTGCATGATTTATAGTTACATGAATTATCTCTTGTGGGAGAAAATATCAGAGTATAGTTTTTAATAATAGATGGCTTGGAATTGCAAACAGTATAAAGTTGCTTCTATTCCATTTGTCAAAAAGCTAAAAACAAATGATTGTTTCAATTCAGCTGCTTCCAAGAAAGAGGAAAAAAAATACAATAAACCACTAAATAGAAAGCCATGATCAGATATGTTGACAATGAAGACAGAGATGCACTGAAAAAAACAGACACTGAAGCAATGTTTTCTGCAACAAAAAATTAGGTTAGGGGAAAAAAAAAGGAAGTGGGAGAGGAGAAAGAAAGGAAATAAAGGAGACATGACCAGTTAATCAAATACGAACATAAGACAAGAATAAAAAGTAAAGCATAAGTACAATAAGGTATGTGGAGAAATATATATATAATTTCACTATATGTAAATATATTTATAATATATTAGTAATCAGCATTATTAGTAATACACTGGAAAAATATCTGCTTTACATATTTATTACATTATATATTAAAATATACAACATTTTATAAAATTATATAAAACAGAGTATTTGGCTCATAGTATATCCTAATAATACTGATTTGCATCACTCTATAAGTATTTGTTTACAAATTCTACTGTAATAAAAAGTTAAATTTGTCAGTATGGAATAAGTCATAGAATTATTTGAACATGGGCATCTATGATGACAAGAAAGCCATAAATAACTAGAGAGAGAGAAAAATTGAAAAAGATATGTTCCTTACACATTGGCTTTCCACTTGGAGAAAGAATTGGTAATCAGAATTCTAAGAAGAAATGTGTGGCTTGAACATATATTTTAGATGATGTCCTCTAGGGCTGTACACTTGAAACCTATGTAATTTAATTAACCAATGTCACCTGAATATGTTTAATGGAACATGAGATGGGGCTAAGAAAAGTCTGAAAAATTTCAATCTAAAATCCTAAGCTCACAGTTGGAGGCTACTAAAAAATATACTATAATCTACTTGTCTTACTTTAACACATATTTTTTATTGATGACATATTTCCTCAACATAACTCAATTGAGCTTAAACATCCTAAACATTAAAAGGGAATATAAATTTAAGCCATATTTCTAGAAATTCAAATAGATTTAATTTTGATATATTATGCCTAATGATTATTTGTAGCATTTCATTACACAAAATGCTATTTGTCTTTGTTCATTTATTCACACTAGAAAAAATATTAAGAGCTTCTTACATGCAACACCTTATTCTAGCTCCTCCAGGATATGCACAATCATCTTTCCTAATGTCCAAAACCTTATAGTGATGCAGGGGCTTTAAAATGAATGTTTAAATAATTATAATAACAAAACATCTGAAATTTGAGAATGTGATACAAGGACTCTGGGTAGATATTTTTAAAAGCAATTATGCAAAAGTTCCTAGTTTTGGGGAAGAATGTGGAGTAGGTAAATGCTGTGCTTGCCTCCTCCCATGACCACATCAAAATTACAACTATAGTACAACCACTCTTGAGAACTGCTTGAAAACTAGCTGAACAGAGCTCTATAACTAAAGATATACAGAAGAATCTACGTCAACACTGGTAGGAAGGGTGGAGATTCTAAACGGGCTGGCCCCACAACCATGTATGGTAGTTAAGAATCAGGAGGGATATCTCGGTTGCAGAGGCACCCCCTGAGGAGCAAGGGGTTCCAGCCACACACCGGACTCCCCAGGAGGAGCACCAGTGCTGGCAAGAGGAGTCTCCACAGCATCTGGCTGTGAAAATTAGCAGGGATTCTGTCCGGGTGAGATGTAGGGCTGCAAGAGTCCCAGCTGTTCTTAAAAGGGGCCTGGGCTTACTCACTGAAGGATGCACTTGATTTCAGTTCCAGCACTGGGCAGAAATTGAAAAGCACCAGGGACATATAGGGAGGAAGTGAACTGTCTGACTTCAGAGCAAGATATGGAGGGGGAACACTCTCTCCCATTTGATCCTTTCTTGAGCCCTTCCCCCACACAGCCGGCAGTTGTAGGTGGGCTCCAAATCTGAGTCTCCATTGAACTCACCTCACCCTGGTGATTACCTCAGAATTTACTCCACCCAACTTACTCACAAGACTGAACATCTCTCAGCGGATGTTACTCACAAGCAGCTGGTCTCTGCCTACTCTGTAGACTTCCTTAAAATCTCTTAAAGGTCCACAAACCCCAAACAACCATGCCCTGATCTTCTTGCTAAGTGGCCCTCAGCCCAGTACTAGTGGGAGCTGGCTTCCGTTCACAGCATAGCCTCCCTCAGGTGTCTGCAAGCCCAGCATAGGCAGGTACCAACAGCAGATCACTTTGTAGTTCCTACTAGGTGGCTCTGGGCCAACCACAAGCAGCGGCAGACCTGGGCCTACACCAGAGCAGCTCCCATGAAGTTCAAGAACCAACAGACTCAGAAACAGGCTTCAGACCATACCACAGCACCATCCAATTAGCTTCACAAACGACACACACAAGGGGTAGACTCAGCAGACACCAGAGGCCCGCTACAGTGGGGTTAGCCTACACACAACAGTTCATCTGCAGTAGTCATGGACAGTCTTCACATGCAGTCAACCTAAGGGTCAATTCCACATATTGACATGTCAACAGTAATCCAGTCTCAACTACACCAGGAGGGCACACACATCCCATATAAGAGACACTCGTGGAGCATCTGGCTCAGGTGACCAGGGAGAATGGGCCACTGGGTCCCACAGGACACAAACTACATAAGACCACGTTGCGAAAAGTGGGAGACTTAGCAGATCTACCTAATACAAAGAAACAAATACAGAGAGGCAGCCAAAATGAGGAGATAAAGAAACATGTCTCAAATGAAAAAGCAGGAACAAACTCCTGAAAAAGAACTAAAACAAAATGGAGGCAATCAATCAACCTGATACAGAGTTCAAAAAACTTGTTATAAGGATGCTTAATGAACTTCAGGGAAGAATAGAATAATTCAGTTGGAATTTTACAATAAAGAGACGGTAAACACAAAAAAAGGACATAGAAACCATGAAAAAGAACCAGTCAGAGATGAAGAATACATTAGATGGCATCACCAGCAGATGAGCTAAAGCGGAGGATCAAATCTGTGATTTGGAAGACCAGGTAGTGGAAAAAACACCCATTTGGAACAGCAAAAAGAAAAAAGAATTAAAGAAAATATTACTATAGTTTAAGGGACCTCTGGGACAACATTCATATCATAGGGGTACTAGGGAGAAGAGAGAGAGCAAAAGATTGAAAATCTATTTTAAGAAATAATAACTAAAAACGTACCTATCCTGGCAAAGAAAATAGACATACAAGTCCAGGAAGTGCAGAGAGTTCCAAACAAGGTGAACCCAAAGAGGCCCACACTAAGGCACATTATAATTAAAATGCCAAAGATTAAAGACCAAGAGAATCTTAAAAACAGCAAGAGGAAAAGCAGTTTGTTACCTACAAGGGAGCTCCCACAAGACTGTCATCTGATCTCTCAACAGAAACTTTGCAGGCCAGAGGGGACTGGCATGAAATATTCAAAGTGATGAAAAGAAAGGACCTACAACCAAGATTACTCTACCCAACAAGCCTACCATTTAGAATCAAGGAGAGATAAAAAGCTTCCCAGAAAAGAGCAAGTTAAAAGAGTTCACCACCACCAAATCAGTATCACAAGGAATCTTAGAGGAATAAAGAAGAAAAAGGAGCAGGGGAGGGGAAAGAGGAGGAGGAGGCCGGCCAAGTGGCTCAGTTGGTGAAGAGCTTGCTCAAGAGTGAGAGCTCTGAGCAACAGGGCCACCAGTTCGATTCCCACATGGGCCAGTAATGCTGTGTCCAAGCTGAGCTGTCGCTGAGCTGCCAACAGGTGGCAGATGGCTCAGCTGGTGTAACAAGATTGCCTGTTCGATGGTGGCTACGCCCACCCGCAACTAAGATTGAATGCAGCACCTTGAGCTTAGAGGCCACAAGCTGCTGATGGGAAGCCAGATGGCGACTGACGCTCTCCACAACAAAGATTGAAGAAAAACAACTTGGCTGGTCCCCTCCCGCAATTCCCCAATAAAATCTTCAAAAAAAAAAAAAAAAGAGGAGGGGGCCGGCCGAGTGGCGCGACAGTTGGGAACTGGCTTGGGATGCCAGAGGGCCCCGGTTCAGATCCCACACATGAGGGCCAGTGACACTGCCCTCCACGGCTAGGATGCTGAACAGCAGCTCAGCCTGGAGCTAGGCTGCTGTGAGTCGCCAGAGATGCTGCAGCCCCTAGTGCAGTGGGTTGCCATGGGCTACCGTGTGTAGCCAGCAGCCAGCGTGAGCAGCCAGCAGCCCCCGTGAGCGGCCGTCCAGAAGCCGGCGAATGATCTGCCTCGCCTGGGAAGAGGACAATGATGGTGCCAACTTGGGCCAGTGAAGCAACATCCTCCACAACTAGACTGAAGAACAAAACGACAGCAACTTGTCTGTTCCCCTTCCCCCAATTCCCCAGCACTGTTCCCATCCCCCCAATTCTCCAATAAAAAATCTTTAAAAAAAAAAAAAGAAAGAAGATAAAAGGGAAAAAAAAAAACGCAACTATTCATATTTCTATAACACAATGTACCCTGACAAATTTTCCCATTTATAAACATAAAACAATGATAGGTGGACCCCTACTAAATTTTAAGAGTAAGTACCACACAAAACTAAATTCAGAGCAGGAAAATTAATTTTACAAAGGAGCACTTTACCTTGGTATCAAAATCAAAGTCTTCATCATCTGATGTTGGCCATGAATCATCAACACCAGGTTTTTTGGAAAGACTGTAGGGTAAAGAGATATAACATAAGTGAGGTCATTTCTTTAAAATAGCAACAACAACAACAAAATGCAGTGGTAGTTCAGCTACCTGCATATTAAATGAAGTTTCTTGATAGAATTAAAATTTGGCCTGTTTTCAAAAAGTTTTCAGTTATCTAGTTCTGCCTCCACCTCTCCCAATCGATGAAATATTCAATGGGGATACACTCTAAGATTCCATCACAAACAGTGACAGCCAATATATTAGCAAAGCCTGAAATTACTTTGTTTTCACCAGAAGTCCTGAAGGATGAACTGAAAATCCAATGAATGGCTGACATAACTTTTGTAATTGAACTAGGGCAAATCTCATGACCTAAATCATGGTAGAAAGATACACTGGCCCTTCTCCATTGTCAGCCCCTGCTTCAAATAATAATCTTTGCCAGTCAAAATTGACAGTCTTGGTTCTTTAGTATGGAAAGCACTTACTAAGGCGACCCCATTCTTTCCTTT